TTACAAATACCCAATAGACCAGGCTTTAAAAATGGCTCATAGCTTTGTCTTCTAGCTTTGCACGCATCATAAACATAATACCTTAATATACATTTATTGAGGAGACCCCAAGTGCTGTGACCTCGTAACTGTAGCACTGACTATCAACCTTTGATCTGGAGCTCCTCAGTTTCTCTGGTATGTTTTTTTTAAAAAGGAGCAGTTGCATAAAAAGTGTTTGACTGATCTTCTCTTTTGTTGTTTATCAACACAGCAAGTTGTTTGGATCTGGGTGTCTGACACATGTGGAAACCCATCACCATGCTTAAGAGTATCCAAACCAAGAGTTCCACGCATCCCATCCACACATTGAAATTGCTATATATTGGAATGTTTCAAATGCAAAGTTTGTATTACTTTAACAGGATTTGCTGTGATACCGCCACGATTGTCCAACATTCCAACATTCATGCTAGATAATTATTTGGGGAGGACAAGTTTGCAGGGTTATGAGGAAAGAGCGGGGGAGTGGGATTGATTTTCAAAGATCCAGCACAGACACGATGGGTCAAATGGCATCCTTCTGTGCTGTATAATTCTATGATTCTATGCTAACATTCATTGCCCAGGTTCCTACAATGAGCCAAATGTGCCAGAGCTGAATGACAACTGAGCCTGATAATGCCATACCCCTGTATCAACAACACCTCAGGAAATGGAAGGGCAGTTTTGCCTCAAAAAGGGACTAATTTATTTATATCAACCTTTGAAAGCTGGGCTGAGAAGAATTTCTTTTGCACTTTGATCTCCTCTAAATTCTTTCTACTTCTCACTCAGTGCCCATAACTATGTCTACACAAGCAGAAACCCATCATTATGCTTAAGAGGTTCCGAACCAAACTGAGAATTCCATACATCGACCTAAACATGGAAATTCCAGTGATGTTTATTGGAATGCAATGTGCACTTTCTCCCTGGAGGGATGTATTTTGCTTACCCAATTCTGGAGAGTATTCGATTCAGGTTGGCAAGAGACAAGGCTTGGGTACCCAAGTGTGCGTTATGGGACTGCTGGAGTAGTACCAGCTAAAACCGCATAGCTTGCCAGTTAAAGCTCTGTTTGGAAAGCTTTCCTGCTGCTTGCCAGCTCAGACCACCTAACTATTAGGATTTTGACTTGCAGGGTTAATGGGAGCTCAGTGTGACCGGTCTGCCCTTCCAAGTCCTGCCAATGAGCCAGGCTGGCTGTGCCGTCATCAGCAGTGCCCTGGAATACTATGGTCTCCCCTGGTTCAGGAGCCGGATTACCAAGACCGGCACCGAGCGTTGACTCGATTCTGACATTCTGTTGACAAGCGTGGCACCTTGGAGTCAGTTGAGCACTTGGAACCATTGTGCAACTGGGCAGTATATTGAAAGAAAGTTGTTGAGGAACAATCACCAGCAATAGTGAAGCAGCTTCCCTTCGAGCTGGGAGATCGGAAAAGATAAAATGGTCACAAATCCCAGCAGGTAGGAATACAGTATATCTGATTTTTAGTTCAATGAAATGCACTGAAGGGAGGGGGTACATTTATCTTAAAAACATCTTTATGGATTGATAATCCCATTTAAATATACAATTTCAATATACAATGTCAGACATTTCACATGCTTTTATTTCATGAGAATAGGAAGGAGGAAATGCTGGCATATTTTGAATATAGCATTCGTGTTACAATATCAAATTATTGCTATGTATAGTGTCAGTGAGTTAAGGAATCCAAACCACTGGTAGAAGTAAGGTAACATTTGGTAATTTAACTCCTATAATTTTATACGCTATTAACAGCAGCAGAAAGAATATAGAATTCTGAATATATACCTGTAGAAATGACAACTGAGGAATATAAATTTCCAAGAAATTAATGCAAAATAATGCAGTGTTATTCACACCTTTGATCAGAAAAGCAGTGTAAATGAGACATGCTTTACAGAGAGAACATCCGTTTCAGATCTAATTCCCCACACTTCTAATGAATTCATATCAGCAATCACTTCAGCACAGCTGAATTGGTTGTTAAATTAATTGAAGTTTGCAACTGATCAAGTCCATCAAATTCTTTGAGAAGCTTGTTTCCAGTGTTGCCAATGGAGAATTGTTTTTTTATATACTGGCAGGAAGAGCAGTTGCAACCCAATTTGCTGCAGATGCAACCCAGAATAATGTTAACCCCCACACTAGTGCACAAGGGTGGAGAACATAAAGAGTATTCGATCATACACACAGCTTAAATTTAAGAATTGATTTGTGCCATTTCACGTTGTGCACTGGGATCATTGTTTCTCTTTCTATTATTCTTTAATTGCAGATAAAACTTTCAGAAAAATCTTGCAGTAAAATCTCGTTCACAAAATACAGTCACACCACTTTACAGTATACTTTGTGAAGCGCTTTGAGATATCTCGACTAAGGGATAAGGCACTATATCAAATGCAAGGATTATTGTTAAGCTTCTACTGTGGATATTCTGCAGAAAGTGGCCCAGAACCAGACAGGAGTTGTTTTCATTCTGGATTTATACTAGCATTATTAAATGCTAAGGATTTACTCTGGAGCCCTGACTAAGTATACTGGGTTTATACGAATGGTTTATTATGTCACATCAGCAGTTTAACTTAAAGGTCTGCATGAAGAACATAGAATACATGGAAGATTAGAAGCCACAGCAGCTTTTGAGCCATTGTTTCCAAAATACAAGGTACAATTTACATTGCCTGAAGGATATGCTCATGATCAATTCTATATATAAGCTTTTCAATTCCTTACCCTTTCCTTAACCAGACAGTGATCCATTTCCTTTTTGGTAGTTAACTAACATTCTTTATTAATTTTATTTACTATTGTGCAGGACATCAACAAGAGTGCAAGTTTCCCTGATGGCTCAGTGAGTTTATTCAGTGAGTGACTGAAACATACAGAATAGCAGGAAAGATAACAGATTAGATCCCTGGTTTGTATGGAGTTAAACTCAAACCAGGCAGCAGTTAGGGTTTTGTAACTGGCCTCAGTGCAGGATTAGAATCAGAAAGAAATATACATCGTAACAGAAGATAAGGTCCCAAGATTCATTAATTTCCAGAAATCAATCCCTAATCCTTGCATACTTACCAAACTCCATATCCCCATCTCACCAGTTCTGGTCAGGCTCCACTGGCTCCCCATCACCGAACGGATCGACTTCAAGATCCTCACACTTGTGTTCAAATCCCTTCACACTCTGGCACCTCCCTACCTCTCTGACTCACTCCCCAATCCACCACCTGGTGCCTCCGCTCAACTGGCACCAGCCTCCTGCTTGTCCCTCGTGCCTTCCGCTCCACCATTGGAGGTCATGCATTCAGCCACTACTCCCCGAAACTCCGGAACACTCTCCCTCAACCCCACTGCCTTGCCCCTTCTCTCCCCTTTTTTGAGCCCTGTCTGAAACCGTCCTTTTTGACCGTGCTTAGTCACCTCCCCCATTCCCCCCGGCTCGGAGTCAGGCTTCGCCACTGTTAAGTGCTCTGAAATGCTACCCTGCGTGGAGGGCGCTATATAAGTGCAAGTTGTTGTTTACTGTTGTTAAATTGTCCTTTGGATCTGTGTACCTATATCTTCTTGTTCTACTGTCTCGACGAATCCTAAAAAGCTATTTACTTTTTCAATCTGATATAAAATTAAATTTTGAGGTCCGCTCTGAGTTGTCTTCTCTCAAAACTAAGAGCCCAAGCTTGACTAGTCATTGTTCATAGTTTATTCCCCTAAAAATGGGGATAAACCTCCTTACTCTTGCCTGCATTGAGCTTCTAGCTAGGGCTTGGGCAGCCCCCTCATGTCGCAATGTACTCTTTACCATATTGCAAATATAAAACGTTTGACCTGCCAACAAATTGTAAAAACTAAAAATGGTTTATCCTCATTAAAAGTAAATAAATTCTGGGTTTGGAGTGAAAATATATCAAGGTCAGGGATGAAGCAATAATAATAATCCTTGCATTTGATAAACTGTAGTGTCTTATCATCTTGTCAAAATGTCTCAAAACACTTAACAGAATTGACTGTAAAGTGCAGTTACCATGTGTTTATAAATGAACATAGCAACTAATATGTGCACAGCAATGTCCCACAAACATTCGCGAAGTAAATGAAAATTTTATCTGGGGGATTGTTAGCCCGGACACAGGGAGATACTCTGATCTCTTTTTGTAAGTGTCATGGGATCTTTTACATCCAGCTGAACAGACAGATGGGACCTCAGTCTAAACTTTTCATCCAAAGAATGGCACCTCTGACAATCCAATGTTTTTCCAGCACTGTACTGGAATATTAATCTTGATTATGAATCCAAAGTACCCAATCTGGGGGTTTGAACTCACAAGTGAACCCATTCTCAGATGTCAGAGTGCTACTGGTATTCTCCTTACCGCAAAAAAAATTTCTTCTCTTTGACAGGCTTAATACGTATGTTGCCACATTAACAAAATACCTTAACAATGTCACTCAAATTATACTGCAAAGTAGGGATTTCTACTTAATATGTCTGGTTATTTTGACAAACTTGGTATATTTATAAATAATGTATAGATTTGTACTAAAATTTAAATTGCTACAGAAAGATAGAGAATTTAATTTATATAACCTTACATTAAACGGTTTCATATTTAGAAACTGACAATACCTGCAAATTATCAACAGCTCTCTAAACACAGCCTGAGTGAACTCCTATTGGAATTATGAATGATCTGGACAAGCATGTAAAACATATATCTGAAATATTGCTAGAGATTAGACAGGAATCACCTACTGTACTACATAGTAATGTAAAAATTAAATGCATTTTTATTTCTATCAATTTCCATATTTGACACTGTTCAGGGTTCTAGACATTTTATGATGGGAGTCTGTCTTTGGAAACTATTATACTTTGCTACCTAGCAACCAATTACCTACAGAGACAGCATGACTTATAAATTTATACTTGTACAGCTAATCTTACCTTGTAATTACACATTCACAAGCTTCATAATTATGGATTTACATTGGTATCTAATGTATATCATTTCCCCTGTACCACCATTAGCGACATGCATTGAAGACATTTCATTCGTTGCTACGTAGATTTTGGCAGTCTGCGTAACTTAGTGAATCTTGTTTTTTTACAGAACATATTGAGACAAAATTCATGTTTTTGAAAAGATTTAATATTATATCCCAAGTGTTTAATCCATGTTTAAGAACAGAAATTCAACACATTGAACACATTTGCACAGTTTCTCTTACTAGTCAAAACAATTAAATTGCTCTCTGTAACTGCACTGCTAACTGCTTATGCAGGTGCCCTCAGCTGGAAATCTGGGTAAATAAATAATGAAGCCTCCATAATCTTCCATGTCAATAACTCTCAAAAGTGTCCTACAAGGCTCAACACATAGAACTCTGAAATCTTCATGACCTTACATGTTAAAACGGTGAGATTAAAGCTTTAAACATGCAGATTTTGGAACATTCAGAATCCAGGCTTAATTTCAATACTTAATAATTGCAGAACCCTGGTTTCTTAATTAAGGCAGAATTTAAGAACTGACTAAATTCAGCCTGAACTTTAAATTTTAAGCCAATAGTCTTCAAGATAAGCTCATGAGAATTTCAGGCCTCGGATGTGTCATTATATACGACATTCTATTTAATAATCCCCACCAGTAAAAGGTAGCACCATATTATATTGAGTATTCCCTGTGTGAGCCCGATTTTTATTGAAATAGCATGAAGGTAGCATCTTAGCCATTGTGAGTGAGAGTTATGGCTTAAGTTTTGAAAGCGAAAGGGGAAAAAAACAAGCAATAATAAAGAATACACTTGTGATAGTATGCATAGCTAGACCTTTCAAGAGTAGCACTTCCAGGAATAAGAAGCTAGACCCCCCAAAAACAGCAGATTAGCAGGTCAGTAGTGAATTTAAACCAACTGAAGCTATTTCCCATCTCTGAGTGACTGTCTAATTTAATGTTGGGATTTGAACAATGCCATAAACAATGAGAGTGCAACTCAAGTAATTCTTGGGGATAATCTGAAGCTGAATGTAAAATAACTCTCCACTCATAGCCTTATACTATACCCTGTGTATACTGAAAAGGACTGAAAACATATTTTAGTAAATAATAGCGTTGTGAATTAACTTTTGAATCAACTTTCTTAATGCAAAAATACCCAAATGACTCATCTTTAAGTATAGTAGCTATAGTTTTCAAATGAATATAACTAGGCTTGCAGGTTTCTGATTTTAATTGGTAAAAAATGTTTGGCAGGTATTCCAAATGTCTTCAAATCGAGGAAAGTAAATTCCCATCTTTAAAAATAGTTTTGTTCACATATTATTTTATTGTTTTGAACTACAAAAGTGGCCAAGTTCTGGGTCGTAGGGTCACCATGGATATCACTTTCTATGTGCTATAAGGGCCATTCTGATATTGTTTTTGCATGATTTATAATATATGGAATGTGTAAACTAACAATGTCATTTCACATGAACATGAATTAAGGAACTGATGTGATATTACAAGGCAATTAGGAGTTCAGTCTATGTTATACACACCGTGTAGATTTTGAATCTAAAGACTGGAAGATTACAGCTGTTGCTCATATGTCTGCAGTTTCTGCACCCAGCCCTTAAGGACAAATAGTATTATTGCATACTTAATTGTAGTTGACAGGAATACCATACAGTGACAGAGTATATTATGTACATATATTGTTCATTATGCTTTCTGCATTTAGAGTTTTTATGTATAAAAATGATTTAGATATGATCAAAGAGGTTGTCTGGATCAGGAGTGTTTGGGATGGTACTCAAGGACTGATCATCTTCTTCCTGGGGGCTGGATAGTGGTGCAGGATTAGCGGAATGTGACCTGGAAAATAATTTAAAAAAACTTTAGAGGAAGACATTTAGCCTTTTAATATAATTTTAAATAAAAATATCAACATTAATAATAAAATATTTTTTGCATTTGATACAGTGGCTTTCATGCCAGAGAAAAAAGTGCTCCACAACATTTTCTGTAAGGTGTATACTCCTTTGTTTGCACGCCATTTTCAAAACATCTGCTTTTTCTGAGCAGGATTTATCCATATTACAATAGCTGAAAAGCCTCGGTAAAGTAAGGTTGTACACAGAGATCAATTTTACAGAAATCTACCAGGAAATCAATCTTTTGATAGCTTAACAACATTATTGCAGGGACACCTTCTGATGCATTTGTTTTCTATTGAAAAAATACTTGTGTCTATTTATGATGGTCAACGGATGTCTGAGACATGCGAAAACCCATCATCCTGCTTCAGAGTATCCAAACTATATGTACAGAGTTTCTGTATATGTATAAACTACCTATGTAGCATTCTACAGAAATATAGGTAGCACTGACTGGAGAAAATAGATTGTTTACATTTTACTAGAAACATCCATAGATTAAGAAATTCAACTGCTTTTCAGACACATTAACAATCATGCTGAGAAACATCCATGAATTTATTAACTTGACGTAAGAACGTAATGAATTATCCATACCTATTATATTGATATTTTAAGCAAGTTCTGCATTTTTGAAGATCCAGAAGACTATCTGCTCAGGTTATTAATGAATGCTGTCGGGAATGGTGTGAAATACTGTACTTATGATAATTATAGGGATGCAGTAGTGTCTGATTATGAAGTTGAGTGTTTTAGGCAGGGATGCTACCAAGCAAAATGGGGAAAGACATTGAGTTCTATCTTCCTAATAAGGTAGTGTCATGTACGATTAGCAAATAAACATCTGTAACATGGTACTGCATAATTCAAAGAGCACAAAGCAGAGACTTGGAACAAAGAAAGCAGCACACATCTTATTTCCTGTGGACAATGCTTTAGTTGATGACATACTAAGATGGCAATTAGAAATATTAGATATATTAAAACAATTAAAATATTAGAACAATTAAGTTATTCTTCCTTTACATTGCAGGGTGCTTCAAACCTGTTCAAATGGATGATCCCTATAGTTAAGAGGAATGAGCTACGAGCGATGACTAGACAAGCTAGGGTTCTTCTGTCTTGAGAGAAGCCTTCTCAGAGGGACAAAGATAGAAGTGTATAATATTTTAAATAGGATTGAAGAAAGTAAACCCAGAACAATACTTCAGTAATGCACCAAGACAGTAGAACGAGAGAACATAGATTTAGAGTTGCAAAGAGCTATTTCAGGAATTTCCAGGAAATGTTCCCTTATGCAAAGGTTAGCGACTGGAGCAGATTGTTAATAAAGGTGGCTGAGGCCAGATACCGAATTCATTTAACAAACAGTTTGATGCTTTGAAGACAGTAATATGGTGTTCTGGATGGATGAGATCAGATGGGCCTAAGAGCCTTCTTCAACTGAACCAATCTTGTGATCTTGTGAAATAACTAGCATCCTGCCCTGTGTCCAATGTGGGATGTAATCTAAAAATCCTGCAACAATACAAACAACAATGCATGTCTGAAAACGCACTGTTGCTTGCAAGTCTCCTGATCTTGAACAATGTTACAAGCATGGACAGAGTGAGTAAATTAGATGAGAAGAACCATTTACTTTGTAGGTCTGAAGTTATGTTGTCTCATGAGATGTCCTACATACAGTAGAATCTCATTATAAGGAGCCCTCTTATAACACTCTTATAGCACTGACTGGCAATCGTGCCCCATTATAAGATGCACTGGAACTTGTTTAACCTCCAACTCTTGCCTTACAGTGGGGTTCTATTTTACCTAACTCAGGAGTGCAGTAGTAAATGTCTCTGGAAACAGCACTACCATATCATATATGCAACATAGCTGTGTCTGATGTTTTATTATATAAATGCAACACTTCATTAGTTATTTGTGCTGGATGAGACATTAGGTCAAAAAGACCTATAAACCTCAGGCTTGTATTCCTTCCCCAGATGTTCCTAATCGCTCAAGGCTACAGAAATCATTCTGTAGTGTTCAGTTTCAGAAGTTCAAAGTTATAAACTGAACTAAATTACAAAGAAGAAAGAACTTGCGTTTTATAGCACCTTATCACATTTGAACCATCTGAAAGCATTTCACAGTACTGAAGTGTAGTGACTACTTTTGTGATAAATGTGGCAGAGAAGTCCCATAAAAGTCGAGGTATGTGATGAACTAATGTGGAGGATTGTTGGCCAGAATGCCAGAAGAAATTCCCTTCTCTTTTTGAATATTTCAATGGTGCTTTTAATTCCACCTGAAGAACTGATGGATTGATTTAACATCCATCTGAATGAAGTTACCGTGGAAAATGCAGCATTCCCCAATACTGCACTCGAGCATCAACCTAGACTATGAGCTCAAGTCCTAAACAGGGCTTGATTTCACAACCATCTGACTCAGAAGTTGGTGTCACATTGGATCAACTGTCTGAAGACTTAACAAGTACACCACATGCTAATCATTTATGAAGATGATACTTAATGTTTTTCACTATGAAACACACTGATATGCAACACTATAATACATTCACTCTGTGAGTGTGTACAAGTTCTCCATATGTTAAACTCAGGAAGTCTGATAGTTCGAGTGGCAAGCATTAAAGTATGAATCATTGACTCTGAAACCTAGTTTTGAGTGACAGTCAGACACAACTATTCTCTAGCGAAAAGTTCGCTGGGATATTAAATGGACTACTCAAATTTTCTTTTCGTGGGGGAAAATAGGGAATAAGAACAGAATTCATCAGAACATTTGACGCTTTTACAGATCGTTTTGTTCTGCAGTCTGAATACCCAACCACATGGTACAGCTGGGAAGTCACAAAGAGATTACAGAATGGAAGCAAATGCAAATTCGCCCACAATAATAGTCAATTTACTTTACATTATATTCTGTGAAGAGCTTTGATACATCTCAAAGACATAACAACAACAAAATGACATTTACAGAGTGCCTTTCATGTCGGGAGGACATCCCAAAGCGCTGTACAGTCAGGTGTCGGGGCCCGAGCATGGGGGAGGGGTGTGTAGTGGGGAGGGTAGGCAGAGAGGTGGGAGGGCGACTGAAGGCACATCGAAGAAAAGGATCTTGAGACCGGCCTTGAAGGAGGCAAGGGAGGAAGAGAGGCGAAGGAACCATGGGATGGAGTTCCAGAGTGTGGGGACAGAGAGGCTGAAAGCCCGGCCACCGATTGTAGCATCTGGCAGTATCAACCTCCATGGTTGCACACTTCAACTCCCAAGCCAGTCAGGAACCTAGGTGTCTTGTTCGATCTTCAACTGTCTTTTCTTCCCCACATCCAAGCCATGACCCCCTCTGCCTTCCCTCACCTCCGTAACACTGCCCGACTCTGCCACTACCTCACCCCTCAGGCCGCTGAAACTCTTGTTCATGCCTTCATCACCTCCAGGCTCAACTATGCAAACACCCTGCTTGTCGGCCTTCCCAACTCCTCCCTCCACAGGCTGCAGATAATTCAGAACTCTGCAGCCCGTGTCCTCTCCCGCACCAAACTCCGTGACCCCATCTCCCCCACTCTCGCTCGACTCCATTGGCTCCCTATCTTTCAGAGGATCCAGTTCAAGATCCTGGTCCTCACGTACAAAGCCCTCCATGGCCTCGCCCCACCCTACCTCTGCGACCTCCTAACCCCCTACCAACCAGTCCGTTCCCTCCACTCAGCCGGCTCTGGCCTGCTCCATGTCCCCCGACCCACCCGCCCCACCCCACCTTCAGCCACTTTGCCCCCAACCTCTGGAATTCCATTCCCCAGTCAATTCACCTCGACCCCTCCTTAGCCTCCTTCAAGTCCCGCCTCAAGACCCTCCTCTTCAACCATGCCATTGGCTACCCCCCCTTGCCCTCCCCTCCTTTCACCCCCCCCTGACCCCAGCTCGGGTCTGAAATGCTGTACTCTGTCCAGTGCCTTGTGATGTCCTCCCGACATGAAAGGCGCTATACAAATGTAATCTCGTTGTTGTATTAACTTAACCAGACAATGACAGTGACTGCAAGGTTAATGTTGATGTTTCGTCAGTACGGATTAGGATGCACGTGAAGTAATGGCACCAATCAGTGCATTAGCAAAAGTGCTGCTTTCATGGTCATAGTGAAAGAAGAAAGTGTGCCTCAGGCAGCAGATACTGGCAGCAAACTCACTACTAATGTGATTCCACTAATAATTTGCCGCGTTAAAGAAGACACTGTATGACCCTACTATTTTTTGAAAAAGTATTAAGAGCAGCCAAGTAAGGTAGTTATGCCTCCAGGGTCACCATTTCAATATGCACAGCGTTCTGAGAGCTGTGAGATCCCGTTCCTCCCCTCCGATAGTCTGACCTTGTTTCCTAGACAGTGCGTAGTAGTGACGAGGCGTGTTTGCAGTGAGGGTTGGAGTTATGATCATATCTATCACTGTACTCAACCTGGAGTTAGCAAAGAACATAGGAGCACTGGCTAGGCTGCGGCCTTTTTTTGGTTTCCTTTTTTAAAAATTAAATCGTCACTTTCAGGATGTACGTGGGTAAGGCAACGTTTACATTCTTAAATGAAAAATTCATTGGAGTATATACTGCCCTTTTAAACGCTTCAAAGCAAAGGTCTAGACATTATAGTAAGTACCCATTAGCAGACCATAAAACAAATCCTCACATGTACACTGTCTTGCAGAGTTTGGAACCCGTGGTGGATACAAACCCCTTTAAGCAGATACTATATCCATTATAAAGGTCAGGCATGTCATTTTGATTATGGTACAACATTTTTGGGTCACTTGCTGGAGGTGGTCAAAGCTCCATGACTATCAATCTTAGAAACAGCAGATAACTATTATTTTATGATGCCATCAATAATAGTTACTCCAAAATCTAACAAAATCTATATCATCTGTTATCTTTG